TTGGTTTCAGCGAGATTCTGTGGGGAATCTAGTGGGAGTTTATATAATCAACTTTGCTCAGATTTCTAGAGTTGTCAATCTTTTTTTTTTTTTCCTTATGGGAAAAATTGCTGATGTTTAATTAATTTATTTTTAAAAATTTATTTTCTTTATTTATGCATACGAGAGCTGGGGTGTAGGCCGGCTCTTTTGTCAGGGATATATACCTAGAACTCAGTGGGAACTGAAAAATGTTCACAACGAGTAGACTAAGGGTGAAAGAGGAATGTTTTTAAAATGGGTAGGACAAATAAAAATTTTATAGCCCAATTAGACTATTTGCAACTTAATGATTTTTAATGCTATTGGGTTTCAACAGTCTACAGAATAGACTAAGCAATTTTTTTCTCTATTCCTGAGGCCTAGTTTTTTCTAGATGGAATGCAGGCTAAACTGCTACTTCTTGTCTCCCTTTTCATAGAAAAATGATGGACTCTGGACAGATTGATTTCTACCAGCATGACAAGGTTTGCTCTAATACCTGCAGAAGCACCAAATTTGATCTTCTGATCAGCAGTGCAAGAGCACCAGTGCCAGGACAGCAGACAAGTGTGGTGCAGACACCCACTTCGGCTGATGGTAGGGGGTAGGAAACCACCTGACAACCCACTGTGTTTTTCAGCAGCACTTTCCCCCTCATTTTTATTTGTGTTTCTTAATTTCAATGGCCGTGAGCATTTGTGTTCTGTAAGGTATGGTAATCTTGGATGGGGTTCCATACTTCAGAAAGTGTTTTCTCCCAAATGATTCCTGTTGACCAAACTGCCTTCCTTGTTTCTTTTTTTAAATGCACGGTAAATATTAGAAGATAGCTTAGTAGTTATAGTGCTCATACAGAGTCTCATGTTCATGCCACTTGGAATCTCTAGGCTTTGAAAATCATGTCTTTCCTTGCCATCATTTTGCCACAAAATAAACCGGTATTTGTAATATCCTTCATCGCTTCTTTGCTGGTTGATTTGCTATTGTAGTTTTTTCCCATATGGTAAAGATTAGTTAAAGATTAACATTAGTTGGGTCCTTGAGTTGATAGAAAATTTTAAAATGCGCTCAAGAGTTAAAACTTTTGGGCTTCCCTGGTAGCCTTGGGGATAAAAGTCTCAGCATTACCACTGTGTTGGTAAGTCATAGTGACCTGAGTTCAGTCTCCAGTCAGGAAGCTGACCCACATGGCGCAGCAGACCTCTCCTGTCTCACCCGCTGCTCCCCTCAGCAGTGTAGTAGATCTGCCTGTTCTGCTTCCCACTATGTCTTTGTTGAATCCTCTCATCCCCGCCCTCCACCTCTGGCCTGTACCCCAGTTCTTATGTGGATAAATAAATAAATCTTAAAAAAATAAATAAAACTTCTATAGAATATGTATTAAGAGTCTTAAAAACATCTTACCCTCTGTTTTTCTTTTAAGAAACCTGCCTTAAGAAAAGTCTTTAGTGCCTGTAGAGATCAAGTAACTGTTCCTGGCAACATTATTTATTATATTTTAAATTACTGTCTACTTTAATATACAATCAAGGGCTATCTATAAAGTAAATTATTACCTTTCTAAATATTCCTGACTATATACTATGGGGTATTAAGCAGTCATTAAAATATTTCCAAAGAGTTTTTACCTGGAAAAATGCTTGCAATGAAACGTAAAGAAAGAAAAAAATAAATAAAATTGAGTACTGTGATTTTAGCTATGTTAAAAACACATGTATGTTAGTATAATTTAGTAGAAGAAAATATGTTGACACTATCTCTATGTAGTGGATTTTTTTTACAGGGTGGTTTTCTGTATTTTCCATAGAAAGGTTAAATTTTTTCTTCACATATTATTTATAGTCAAGAGACACAAAATTAAAAAAAATCGTTCCAGATGATTTGTTTGCAGAAATCAGTAGTTGAAATTGGAAATATATTTAACTTTCATTTTTTGTTGTTCTTGGCCTGTTTTACTTGCCCAGGAAAAACAAACACATGCCAACTTCCCCCAAATATGGAAAGGAATCAGAGTATCTAAAAGATCTTTACTGAAAGCCAAGTAACATTATAACATAGACTTTACTGTAATTACAGTACTCCTTGGTTTGCTCATGGACTATAATAAGTGTCTGTGGATCTCATTATAAGGCTATTTTCTAGTGGGAGTTTATATAAATCAACTTTGCTCAGAATTTATAGAGTTGTCAATCATTTTTTTCCTTGAGGGAAAAATTGCTGATGTTTAATTAATTTATTTGTAAAGATTTATTTTCTTTATTTAT